GCCATAAAGTTAAGTACTATCACTGTGTGTTTAAGGATTGAATTTCACTCGCGCCTCGATTGTAGCCACCAATCAGTTAGCGTCCTCCTGGTTATTTCTACCCGTTTGAAGTCTATTTTGTCTTCACTGTCTCTAAACCCCAATACTTTGCAAAATTTGGCGCCATTATCTGCGACTATAGAGTGGAGCCCTTTACAGAACATTATCAAATGTTCAGCCGTTTCCTCCTCCTCTCCACACGCACTACATACCGTGTCTGTGGCTCCGTATTTTGCTCGGTACGTCTTGGTCCGCAATACTCCCGTTCTAGCCTCGAAGAGCAGAGAACTACCCCGAGAATTATCGTATATCTTTTCCCTTGCAATATCCTGCTTAAAAGTTCGGTAGGTCTCCAGTGATGATTGCGTAATCATTCCCATCTTCCACATATCTCTCTCTGCTTCTTTCACCTTCTTTTTAACCGATGTTTCCTTTTGGCTTGGTATTCTGCTGTTGTCTAAATACTTGCTTGACAATTTTTGAGTTCGTTTCTTTCATTTAGTATCAACATTCTTCATGTACAAGTAGCTGAAAACTTTCCTAGCCCAACGCTCCCCTCCCATTTTTCTCAGTCGCTCCTCAAGTTCTATCTTGCTGCTAGCTTCCCTGCACTCCCTGTGCCCCCTGATTTGGTGTATTCTCGTGGGCTCTGAAAGCAAGTTTACTTATGCCATGTTTCTTAATTTCCAATCTTGCTTTAACTACTGATTTCATGCACAAGACCGCATTGCCGAACGTCAAACCCGGGACCATGACACCTTTCCAAGTCCCTCTCACAACGTCATACCTATTGTAGTTACATAATGCCCTATTTTTCATTTCATCTGCATTCCTGTTCCCCTTAGTCATCACGTATCTTTTATGCTCCCTTAGATACTCAGCCCTGTTATTTATCCATGCACCCAAGTATTTGTATTTATCCACAATTTCTAGCGTGACTTCGTGTATCTTATGCTCACTACCTTTGTTATCACTAAAAATCATGATTGTCGATTTTTCCTTACCGAACTTCAAATTTAACCTATCATTCTCATTACCACAGATGTGTATCATTCCCTGACGATCTTTTTTGTTGTCGGCTAATAATACTATATCATCTGCATATATCAATGCTGGTAATGACTGTTCAATCTGTTTTCCTTGCTTGGTAAAATTGAGGCTGAATCTGAGTAGACTGCTGTGTGCGCTTACGGGCCGTCGCCATCGGTCATGCTGGTAAGTCACTTTCTGTAACGTAACAAAAGTCTGTTACGTCGGCTTTTGTAACTGAGCGGCACGCGAGTGACCAATAAAAAGCAAAAATAATCGAATGCCAATTGTATTGATTGTAACTCGCTACAGTGGTCTAATGGCTAAGGCACTCGTCTGCTGAGCCGCTAGTCGCAGGGTCCAATTCCGGCCGCGGCGGCCGTATTTTCGATGGAGGCGAAAATGCTTGGGACCCCTGGGCTGAGCTTAGATTTAGACGCACGTTAAAGAACTCCACGAGGTCGGAATTTTCGGAGCCCTCCGCTACGGCGTCTCTCATAATCATATGGACGTTAAACCCCAACAATTCTTATTCTCAAAGCTATTGTACGATCCGGCAATAAAATATGTATAGTAGAGATATGAAACGATAGAAATGCCATGCGCGCCACATTTAAGCACGCGTGTGCACGCCTCAAGTTTTGATTCACTACACGCATTAATTTCCTTGAAACGAATGGCGTGCTATGGTTAAAGAGTGCCCCTCACCCCTCTCCTCCTTCTCCGAACAATAATAATAGATGAAGAGAGATAGAAAAAATAAAAATTATGCCATGCGCCCTTGGTGTTCTGCCGAGTAGAGATATCGCCCAAATCGAACTGCATTGCGCGCCAAATTTGCATTGGAGCGCTTGTCCCGTCCTGTTCCTGTCCACAATCTATTTTTTCGCGCTGTTAAGCCTCAAGTATGCTAAACCAATTAGCCCAATCAGCCACCAAGTTTAAACCCGTGCGCGCACGGATCAAGATTTCATGCGCGCGTGATGCAACCGGGAACGAATGACGTGGGTAGATTAAACTACGCCCCACCTCCCCCTCTTCCTTCTCTGAACAAAACGAAAAGAAAACATAGACGGAGATTTAAAAAAGAAATAAGAACGCGATGCAAGGCGCACTTGGTGCCCTATCTAAACGCATCATGTTTTGATGCAGTTTTGGCGCATGCATCAAGTTTTGATTTTCTATACGTATATAAGTTCACGTGCATGTGTGAAATGAGCAACGAATGACGTCGCAAGGATAAACAACACCCTGCGCCCTCCTCCTTCTTCCTCTCTTCTTTCTCTGCAAAAAAATGGAAAAAGTAGGAAACGTGATGCCCCGAGCAATCGGTGTCCCAAAGGGGGTCTCCCAGTGATCGCGCCCAATGCTTCTTAAGAAGCTTCGGTAATCGAACGAGAACCGCCACATTCAGAATGGTATATGGCCGTCAACAGGAATCAGTCGTTCTACCACACCTTTTATAACCGACTACGCAATTCTTTTTTGACAATGACTCTATTTTCCGCATCAATACAGTGAATGATATGAAGGGGAGGGTGGAAAAAGCTGTCGTTCAGACAGCCTGACGAGGCCGCTGGCCCCCTCATTGGCGCTTAACAGCAGCGATGCAGTAACAATAAACCAACATAATTCAGCAATGTATAACACAAGACATATTATATAGAAAAAGAACAATAATTTCTAACTTTACAAAATCGCAATCCTTTGCAGAGACAAAAACCGCAATATAATAACGTTACTCACACGTAACCTTAGCGATTGTAGACATACACGTGTGCAAGATTTAGAAGTGAGATGAATCAAAACAATGTTTTTCAAGAATATCTGTCTTGAGTTCAAAATAACTGTGTATGTCTTTAAAAGACATGTTCTGTATTGTGGCCCTTCGCAAATTGATCTGTTTAATAATCTTGGTAAATTATTTCCGAGCGTTTGTGTTCAATATGTTGTTCGCACAATTGGTGATTTCCAGTATTCCCTTTTACGTGTTGCATATACAGGGGTGTCTTCTTGTAACCTGGAAAGGCGCTTAAGAAAATCTGACGTGGTTTTTAACTCTTGTTTATACGCCTTACACAAACGGTAATCATATAGTGCTGTGGCTGGAATTAAGTATTCTATATTTTAAGAAATACTCGCGTGTGTGGAAATGGCTTGGTACAATTTGTAGATCCATCTCGCCAAGTTACAAGTAACGGCTTATGCAGCGCGTTAAATTTTATTCGCGGAAAACGTCGAAAGTGTGAGACTACCGTCTCTTGTTCTATGTTTCTTCGTTGGGCGCACAAGCACGAATGCGCCAACTTTTACGCATGGATGCGTGTGTGCTTACGGACTGCCGCAACCGGCCACGAACCCCGTGTAACTGCGGTTAAACGTCTGTTGCGTCTAAAAAGTCCCTGTACCGGAGACCACACGCAACATATGCGTTAGGGTGGCTACTTGCGTACACACGCTTTTATGTTTGTACTTGCGATCGAGATTATTAGGGGACGCAACGTAGGCCACTTTGGGGCTCCGGCACTAAAATTCTTTCCTTTCTTTTTGTCTAATCTGTCGCTGCCAGTACGCTGACTTCTTGAATTACGCGCCCGAAAGAACGCATTGCTGACGGCGCGCCGATCAGTTGGAGTCGGCAGCGGCGTACGCCTGTAGTTGCTCTACTAGTAGCTTTGTAGAAAGCGCAACCTTTCGACCATGAAAGTTAAGATTTCGACCGGTTGCTTTGCTTCCCAAGGCAACGGATGTGACGGGCAGAGCAGTTCCGGATGTTTTTTTACTTCTTGTTTATGTTCCGCTCGTTTTTTTTCCTCATGACGTCAGGGCAAGGGTGAACACGAAACATGGCGGAGTGCCCCTTAGCCCGCTGTGCCCAAGAGCGACGTGCCTTTCGAAAGGAATTTCAACGATGGAGTCGGGATATGCTGTTTGTCATTGGTGAGTTCTGTTGAGCGTTTGGGCTCACACTAGAAGTGTTTTGAATCATCCTCCGCGATTTGTTGTCGACGCTAGTGTATAATTGTTGCTTTAGTAGGTCACCGAAATTTCGGGTGTTGCATTACGGGACCTTACATACGGTTGCGGTGTTGCTAGGGTTAGTCTGTGCACACAGGTCATCGAAGGCTGGGTGGAGGTTCCTGTTCTATAAGGGATTGTCTTCCGTCACTAACTATATAGTTGGGAGTTTACTGGGCCTAAAAAAAAAAAAGAAGAGGGGGGGGGGTGCATCGAGGAGGCGCGGATGCAACAAGTTGATCGCCGGCGTGTGCAGGCTTGGAGCGCGTGGCCGAGGAAATGATGGGCTCGAAGCGATGGAACCGGATGACACAGCTCGAAAACGGTAGGTGGCCGCCGCTGTGGCGGTCGTGGGGGGGTGAGGCTCACGTTTTTTTTTCTGCCCGCGACAGCCTTGGAGGAGCAATTTCAGCTCACCGACTGGGTGCCGGACCAAGTGTGCTACTTCTGCGACGCGCAACGCTTGCCGGTGAGTAGCGGCGCAAAGCGTGGGCGCCAGCTGATAGATGGCAACTGTGTGTGCGCAGGAGCCTCCCGGACCACCGAGCGACTATTCTAGCTTTAAGAGTTTCCAAATGGACCTTGACGAACAGTCGACAGGTTCTGATCAGGCTTCAGGTAATTGTCTCGCAGCACCGGCCGTTGTAGGAAAGGGCAGCAGCCCCCGAGAGGTGAGTGCCTCCCTGCATAGAGCACCATGGAGGCATGCGGCCTAACCCGTCTGGAAGACACTAATCACGGCGCATGGGAGGACTGCACCCTGACTATACTAACTGCCCCTCCTACTCCTGCTTCTACTCTTGTCACTGACGGCAGCCTGATTGTGCAGGGTCACCTGAGCCCCCGGACGAGCAACCACTGGACCTGAGCTTGCATTCCAGGCCCACAAACCAAGATGAGGAGGAGATTCGTGGGTCAGTATTCATGCATGCTTGTTTGGCTAGGAAAAATGATGGACAAACTGCAACTGGCATTGCAGTTTGTTCATATCTCATGTACTACCATCTTTGTTTCTTCAACTTGTCTGTGAAAATTCGGATTGGCTGACACATTACGGGCACTCGTGGACGCACATAGTTCAATACCGTTGTGTGCAAGAATTAGGCAACTAACTGTGCAGGTATATTGATGGGCTTTTCTGATTTCTACAGTTGTCTTTAGCGCTGTGTCTGTGTTTTCATATCGTCCTGTCTTTTATGTGCCGTTTATTTTTCATGTGCTTTGCACACATCAGCTCAATCAAATGCACCACTTTTGATTCAGAAACATTCTTCTTATGAAAAGTTGCGTACTATGGAGTGTCAGCAGCATCTAGGCATTTATTGATAGTACCCTGTCCTGGGCGTTATTTATTGATAGTGTGGGAGGGCTAACCTTTTTATGCATGCATTTAAAGTGGTATGAATTTGTGCTTGAAAATTTTTGTAGCTTGCACAAAAGACGAGGACGCACCGAAAAAAAAGGACAAAGATGCGCTAACTCACAACTGTTTTATTTTCTGAAAAGGACTAAACGTATATGCATCAATGATCATCAGCGCAGAGCATGTGCGAACCAACACAAGTAACATAAGGGCTAAATGCTAAATATTAAAATTTTTATAGATAATTCCTTTTCTGTCACTAAAAATTGATTGCAACAAAATTTAAGATGAAAACTTGAGTGCAAACCAAGATGGACAGCAAAGAGTGTAAGAGACAAGCACTGGCTCTTGAGCGAAGATTGACTGATACATTTTTTCCCACACGTACTTATATGAAATGCTTCTGGGATTTCACGTGTTAGTTTATGTTTATGAGCAATCATAATATCTGTTTCAACGAAAAATGTATTACAATGGTATAATTCACAATGATAGGACAGGTGTGAAAAGGTTTTTTTCCCCAGCAAACTTGCATGCTCTTTCAAGTGTGTGTTGATTCAGTGGCCTGTTTATTTTGAACTCTTTCACTGCTACGAGAAAAAGGGCCGTTTTCATTAGGTCTGAAAAACATTTCCGGCTAGATACTAACGCCTTATTTACATTGTTTGGTACCAGAATGTAGCTAACGGAATGCTTTTGTCAATAACATGAATGTTGTACATAGATTTTTTACACCTAATAATGAAAAAAGTGTTTATACAGAAAAACTTGTAGAGTGATAATACAATGAACATATTTAAAAGGAGGACAACGTAAAAAAATATTGAGGTTTAAAAAACTCGAAATGTAGAATTTGTAACTACTCATGTTGCAAGAAGTTTAAACAAGTTTCAAAGGTATTGCTACAAACTGTTCTTGCCACAACAAAAATAAAGTGCGTGCATTTCGTGCCATTCTCGAAGGCAGTCCCTCGTCGGGATGGAACAAAAATAGACCCCTCATGGCTGACACAAAACTGCTGTTTTCATCTGTTTTTCTCTTGTCGTAGCAGAGCTTGCAATTTTGGCACTTTTCTTGCACATGGGGCTTGGGTTCCAACTTTTTGGTAAGTGTAGGAGGGGAACACGTCTATTCTCCATGCCGAGAATCTGGTTGACTAGCTCAATTCGAAATGGGAGCTTTTCAAAACCAGTTTTTATTGACAGTTCATCTGTTTCGAGGTGATCCCTCTGGTGTGCCTCAAAGAATAAAACTATTCACGATGGCAATGTCGCTGCAGTAAAAGAACAGCGTTTTCCATCATCTCACACATTTCATCAAAACGTTATATGAAGCAATGAGTTGATCTGATTTTTCGACACCAAGCATGCCCTTGTTGTATTCTTCAATCAAGAGCCGCTTCCTGGCGGGAATCTTGATCCATCTGCCTGGGCTCTTTTCGCGTTGCAATGACATGTTTGCTGTGTGTGCTGTGCTCATCAAGTTTAGAGCACACTGCATTGCATCCAGCGAATGTCTTCTCGCGCTGCTCTTTTCTCCCAGGTTGTGTCTTTCAGCTGGGAGGGGAATCCGCGGCAATCTTTGTGGGTCATTCAACACGACGGAGTTTTCTGCCCAAGTAGATGTACAAACACAGACGTTGACGTGTAGAAATTATCAAGGTAGATGACATATTCTTGATCGAAAAATGAGTCACAGAGGCGCGTTACAACGTGATAGGCCAGTTTCTTTGAGCTGAAGGCTTCTCTCTTCCCGGTATAAACACTGAATCGGACAGTGTAACCTGTCTGTCTGCGAGGACCCAGAGTTTGTACCCCCATTTGGCCCCCTTGTCACACGTATACTGACGGATTCCTGATCGTCCTTTATACTTGACCATTCTCTCGTCCACGCACAAGTTGCAATACGGCTGAAACAGCTGAGATGACACGTCATTGAGGTGCTGCAGTAGGCTTGCTATCCTGTGCAGCTTGCCATCGCGGGCGATGTCTGTCTGCTCCGAGTCTATCACACTTACAAAGGCAAGAAACACAAAGAAATGGCTCCTAGGCATTATCTTCAGAGAAAGGCGGCCCGAAAATAACTCCGAGGTGTTCCAATAAAGATGGAGGCGAGGCAACTCAACTATTCCCATGTAGATGAGGACTCCAATACACTTCACTGGGACTGAAGTTCCTCCTCGAACTGTCTCTTTTCGCATACATCTGCCTCACTAAGGTGTGCATCCATGCATATTTGTTCATGTAGTCGCAGGCCATGCTGATCAGCACGTGGTAAAAAACAACTGAAAGAAATCAACGACCCAGACGAAGCACCGGGTGTTACTCCAGAGCGCATCGCCGATTTACCCCTGGGGTTCGTCTTGGCAGAAACTGTATAGGCTTGACAGATGCCGGCAAGGAATCGTGCCAGTAGGACGTTGAGACCCTAAAAACGAGTAAAATTGCAGTGAGTACACACTCCGCCACTTGTAACGACTGTTAGTCAACAAAATGTGCGCCTCACTTTCAGCAAACACTTGCCTGATGGGCGTTGCAGCTTGACATGATGCATTCTCATCAGTTCTGCTCCAGACTCACTGCTGCATATTATATCCTCAAAATTGACTGATGATGCTACGTATTCGCTAGAAACGCCTCGTCTTTTGGGATCGGGTGCACGCGATGACGACGCCATGATCGACGCGCTCGCGTGGCTATCTGAAAATTTTCTGCGGAGAGATAAAACTCCCCTGTAGCAAAAAAACAAGCAAAACATCGTGGATCTCTTTGTGCGTTTCCTCCTTTCATACCTAGAGGGCGTTAGGCGCCATCTATGTATGAAACTGCGCGATGGCGCAAGAATCCACACTTTAAATGCATCGTTCAAATTGAACGATTTCAATAGGCCCGGCAGCGAAAGAGTTAATGAAAGAAAGCTTTTCAAAAACAAGTAGGCATGTTAACTTCAGCTGGTTTCCCAGAATATGCTATCCTTAGAGTAGTTGATAAAGTAATACAAATATTGAAGGGTGAACAATGCAGTTAGTGCTGTGCGGTTGCGCCCTATGTTCATCATTTTTTTCATGCATGAAAGAATGTTGCTAGCAGGGATGGTTTTGAAGTTGTTTCAGCTCTCCTACGAAATGGGCAATAACACGGTCAGCCAGGAAATTGCGCTATTCATTGAAATATAGGAAATCGTATATGCACACACACTCCAGCTGTAAAACGTTTCCAGTCCCGGCTGGATTATGAGACAGGAAATAGTTTCCAGTCGGAATTTTTCTGGACTGAATGGAAGCCAATCTGGTAGAGAGTGGAGGTCATTCTACCTGAAAGTGGAAGCCGTTTTAGCTGGAAATCGAAGGTGTTCCGGCTGGGAATTAAATTGATCTATTCCAGCTGGAAATGGAAATCTTTCCAGCCAAAAACAGAAGCCATTCCTGCTGAAAATAGAAGTTGTTCCAGCAATTTTCCTGTAGGAAATGGCAGTTGTTCTGGCAAGAAATTTGGAGCACTCTAAATCGGTAAGGATTATGTTCCCAAGGAAAAGGTGCCTTTTCTCATGCAATAAGGAGGCCATGTTTTAGAAAAAGTATTTATTCTTTTTGATATTAGTCTGGACTGCCTCATTTTCCTCTTTACATTTTTTTTTATTATTTTGCTAAGGATCTTCTGTAGCTCATGGGCAGCCACCGTCACGTCTTGGTAGTTGGTTTTGCTCCAATATGCCAAGCAGTCCAATTAAGCAAAAACAAAATAAAATGGTACCAAATTCACTCAAGAAATGATACAATTTAACCATTGGCATAGCCAGAAAATTATTGGGGGGGGGGGGGGGGGGGGGCAGGCACCTACATCATAAATAGAGGCCGGGCCAAATTTATGTGCCCTGTATGATGGCAACAAAAAGAAAACATTTTGGGAGGGGGGGCTCTGCCTCTGAGTGTCACTCCCTGGTTACGCCACTGAATTTAACATGTTCATCGTTCCAAAATTTAATGTCTGGGTATGTAGTGATTATTTATATCGACCTTAAACTACTCCAACTGCTTAAATTTCCCCAATTAATTCACTTGCACATATATAATTATTGCCGTTTGTTGCATAGACATGTGCCTATCATAGCACGGCACGGCAAAGGGTTATTGTTAACAAAGGCTGCTTACACAAACTGATTTCTTATATAAGCATTGCATACAGTCAGGTAGCATGACAGCATATTAATGAAGCCCACGAACATCTGGGACAAACACTCGCTTATTCTTGAAATAAAGCAACACTTACCTCCAAATGGAAGAATCAGAACTCAGAAAATGACTGTTCCTTGGTTGGTGCTCATGTATCCGAGGCATTGCAGATATTACAGCAGTAAAAATAGCTCGTATATGCTGGGCATCACTCGCCACACTTTCCAGAGATAAAGATAACTATTTCATGTCAAGTCACACAGATATTCCTCGAAGAAACTCGCTAAAATAGCGAACTCCAAGTGTGCGCGCACAGATTGTGCTACGACTAGCTGCCATGTGCTGTACGAAAATGCGGCAGCTTAATGATATATAGGTAT